ATACTTTGCATTTCCCTTTGGTTCTAAGAGTTATCTAAGAGTGTTTCCTAATTTCTACTATATTATTTTTTAGTTTTCTAATAAAATTGCCTAATCAGGTATTTTAGTTTTCTAATAAAACTTAGTATCACAGGATGTGGCCTATTAAAAATTTTTACTTTTTAGAATTTATAAAAAATTTGGGCATCTTGTTCAAGGACTAAACTTTCTAAGATAAATCCTTTCTCATTTGAAATTTCATGATTTCCATAATGTAAAAATTATCCAAAAAGGATCTTGCCATTTTGACATTGTAAGATAAATATGCAGCCTCATATACATTATGATTAAAATGAGATAGTTTTGCATATTTTAAATACTTATCAACAGTAAATTTCTAATGTCATTTTTCTTATGACAGTGAATGAATTTTACTGAAAACCCTTAATTCCTGGTATTTATTTCATTACTTATCTATCCTTATCAGAAAACTAGGATGGTTATGAGCATATTGCATCACTGAATACCACTATGAACTTTATTCAATTCATAAAGGGGCGTGTGTGAGTGTGTGTGTGTGTGTGTGACGCAAATAGGGCCTTGATTTAGTTTTCTTTCTCAGTTGCACCTTTTTAAAAAAATGTTGAACAGGAGTTTGTAGCCAGTATTTTCTTATCTCTCCTTTCTGATTCATATGCCCTTCAAAGGTCAACAATCACATCAGTCCTAACATTAAGGCTTTATTCTAGGGGAGGGAATGCTTAGTCTTGATAGCAGAGCCATAATATTAGAGGAAATAATAGAGAAGCTTGTCTGAAAAGTCATGTTTTTGAAAGAATCTCTCTCTCTAAGTCAGGGTAGGAACACTGAAAAGAAAGATAAGCCATATAGATACCAGAAGATACTAAAGGGATACTAAGACTCATTACAGTGCTAAGTCACTGTGTGAAATTCAAGAAGGATTTTACATATTCTACTGTATTAAATGAACAAATATGAATTAGACATTTAACTGTCCTAACTTTTAATAAATGTTTTTAATGCATTGCCTTTATCTGACAGAATTTAGGTACGTATATATGGAAAAAATAATTTTTAATTATAATCTTAGATACACTATTCTATAGATAAGAGAAATATGAGCAAAATACAAATACATGAAAATTTTAAGAAATGAAAGATAGTTTATGGGTAATATTTTGTTTTCCTATGCCAGATTCATTTATATCCTTCTCCTTGACTTACACAGTGTTGGATAACGGCTAACACAAGCCTGAATATATAGCCATCAAAAAACAGAAAAATGGAAACTATATTTAATCAATTATACCGGTCATTGTGTTTTAATTATTGTGTTTCATTTACTCTGTAAGATAAGGATTAAATTTAATATTGATATGTAACCTGAAGGTAAAATTCTGAGGCTAGAAAAAGACAGTCTGCTTTTAAATAGGCTGAAGGAACTACATTTCAGACCAAATTGACCTGACTCAAAAATATCTCCTAAGCCAATCTTTCTCAAGCTGTCTATGATGAAAAGCCATATTTTTGTTATTCCAATACATCATAAACCAAAGCACTATAAAATACAACAAAATGAATGATTCAAAAATTTAAAAAAATAAAAAATACAAGTCTAAAATTACTCGATTCAACATACATAAAATTATTCTGTAAAATGGTCATAAAAATTTAAAAGCACTTACTCTCAATTTCTGTGCTTACTGCAAACAAATAACAAACAATTCATGCATAGGCCTTAGTCTACAGACCATAATCCGAGTAGACAACATACTCCCATATCTAAGAGCCATTCAGGAATAAGTGTTTCTCAAAGAAATTTTCATAGAGCTAACAAGAATCATGATCAACTGAAAAATGTGCATAAATCTAATGAAACATTTCAACAATTACATACAAAGATATCCACTTCCTATACCCGAAAACTTGTGAATGTGTTATCTTCAATAACAAAGGGACTTCGCAGATGTGATTAGTTTAAAGATCTATAGAGGGAGAGATTATCTTAGAATATCTGGGTGGCTCCAATGTCATCACAAGGGTACTCATAAGAGAGAAGCCAGAGAGTTAGTCAGAGGAAGAGGTGAGATAGTAGAAGCTGAAGTCAGAGGCAGAGAGATGCGAAGGTGGTATGGTGCTGGCTTTAAAGGATGAAAGCACCACAACCAAGAAATGCAGGTACACACCAGATGCTGAAAAAGGAAAGGAATGCCCTCCTTAAGGAGCACAGTCCTACCAACACCTTGATTCTATGAGTTCTGACCTCTGAAACTACAGAATAATAAATCTGTGTTGTTTTAAGCTACTCAGGTTGTGGTCATTTGTTATAGTGGCAATTGGAAACATACAGATTTTAGTTCTTGGGAGTAGGGTGCTGCTATTACAAACACCTAAAAATGTGGAAGTAGCTTTGGAATTGATAACAGGCAGATGCTAGAAAAATTTAAAGAATTTTAACAGAAAAATCCAAGATTGCCTTGCACTGACTGTTAGTGAAAACAGGGATAATAAAGGCCTTGCTTGCAAGGACTCGGAAGTGAGGAGCATGGTAGAGGAAGCCTCTTACCATCTGAGAGGATATCTAAATCATTATAAAAAGACTGTAGAAACACAGGTGTTAAAGAGATGCTAGGGAAGGCTCAGAAAAAAATGAAGAACATGTTACTAGGAAATGGAAGAAAGAGTGACAGAAAGCTTGGATGGATTGTATCTTACAATTATGTGGAAATCAGAATTGTACAGGATGAACTTGGATATTTAGTCAAGAAGTTTTCTAAGCACGGTGTTGAAGGAGTGCCCTGGTTTCTTCCTCCTGCTTATAGTAAAATGTGAGAAGAAAGAAATAAATTGAGAGAACTGTTAAGCTAAAAGAAACCAGGACTTGATGATTTGGAAAATTCCCAGCCTATGTAAATTGCAAAAGGCATAAAATTAGAAAACTCACTCTCGGGAAAGTACGCTCTGGAGAGAAAGCCAGTTGCATGTCTAGATAACCTTTGGCTTGTGCCTTGGAAGGACTGAAAGCTCAGAGTATTCAGTCATACAGAGTGCTTCTTTGAAGAGATTAGGCATGTAATTCATGGATGGCTTTGACCATTTCAGCAGAGGCCAAAAATGGAGATGGGATTATCTGGGAATGTTCTGTGAAGTAGCCTCTTTTCCAATAGCGTCAATCCTAGAGACAAATGGGAGAACCACAGGTTTCTTAAGAATGTTCTATCAGGGGGCGACTGGGTGGCTCAGTCAGTTAAGCATCTGCCCTCACTCAGGTCATGATCCCAGGGTCCTGGGATGGAACCCCGTGTCAGGGCCTGCTTCTCCCTCTCCTTCCTGATCATGTTCTCTCTCACTATCTCTGTTTCTGTCTCTCTCTCAAATAAATAAATAAAATCTAAAGAAAAAAAAAAAAAAAAAAGAATGTTATATCAGTAGAAACACTGCCAGTTCTTCCCAAGCTTTCCAGTGTAAGGGAATTTGCCCAGCTGGATTTCTAAATTGCTTGCGGAAGAATTGATAATCCTTTTTTTCCTTCCATCTTCTCCCTTTTTAGTGGGACTATCTGTACCTATTCTCTTATGCTGTGCATCTTATCCCAATGCATTCTGGGAACATATATATATTGTTTTCTAGTTTCACAGGTAACAGATGGAGAGGAATTTTGTTCAAGAATGGATTATAACCAGAACCTTACCTACACCTACTTTAGATGATTTAGATGAAAATATTTGGAATTTTTAAGCTGATGAAATTTTGATGAGATTTTGGACTTGAAATGATTCTATAATAGGCTGAGATTTTAGGGAATCTGGGGATGTGGTGAATGTAGAAAGGATGTGAATTTGGGGGTGGACAAAGGGCAGACTATGTTGAGCTGAATAATAGCCCCCAAAGATGTCCATGTCCCAATCACTGGAAACTGTGAATATGTTATCTTAAATGGCTGTGATTTGGTTAAGGATCTTAAGATTATTCTGGAGCATTTCAGTGGGCCCAATGTAATCAGAAGGTCCTTCTAAGAGGGAGGTGTGAGGAGAGAAGCAGAGGTCAGAGTCAGAGAGAGATTTGAAGATGCTACATTTCTGGCTTTGAATATGGAGGACGGGGTAGAAGAAGGCAAGTGGACTTCAGAAGATGCAAAAGACAAGGAAGGACATGCACTCTGCCAGAGCCTCTACAAGGAATGCAGCTCTGCCAACACCTTGACTTTAGGATTTCTGACCTCCAGAACCATAAGATAATACATTTGTGATGCTTTAAGACACTAAGTTTGTGGTAATTTGTTAGAGCAGCTATAGTAAACCAGTATGAAAAACCAGTAATTGAATTTAAATTTAAAAAAATAATAATGAAAAGAGGAAACAAAAAAGAAATTTCTACTTAATTTGGCATGATATTTCCCTAAAAATACACCATAAAAATCTTTAATTTTCACATTCCATGTATTTCTGAGTTTAATATAGCAAAGAATATATGTTGTAAGATACTAAAAATTAACTTTTAAAACTTAATTCTGAGAATTTTTTTTTCTGTTGACAGTCACCTGTGGAGATGTGGCAACTGTGACAACAAAAAAAATGGAACATTTCATTTTTCCAACATGATAAATTCTCCATTTTAAACTAAAGAAAAGTAATATACTTTGCTCTTAAATAGTCAATACAGTTCTTCCCACTGTGCATTAGCATCTGAAAGTGAGTGAGGAATGGTTTAGTTAGACTTGAATTCATTACTAGGAATGAGAGCCCCATTCACCAAGGCCCCTCTTTAATTATCTCATCAACCTAATTTCAAAAATCATATGATGAGTTTTTAAAAAGGCACTTCATATGCTATTGGGCAATAAAACTGTCCAGAGTTCAGGCAGTAACATATCTTCAGTATTTAGCATTATGGCATGATGTATTATTCACTCTTAGCGATTTCTAAGTTTTTTGAAGAGTCATGATATAATCACAATAGAAACATATACAAGTAACAAAGTGTTTCAAATCGTCCCTTACCTGTGTAACAAGTGGCTCCAAAAGCCTCTCCACTGTTAGTGTCCGTATTTCCAAACTTTTGGGGTCCCATTTTAAAATGATAGGTGAAGTTGCCGAAGTCATGCTCCCTATAGAAACACACATTACTGGTAAGAAATAATAATTACTGAAATAATCAGTTACCTTGGGGGTTCAAAATGAATAAGTCACCAAAACTCAGAACATAATTGAAGATTATATATCTTGTTGAAACTCATCAAATTAAAGATGGGGAAATCAGAACCAGAACTATGTAAGGCAGTGATGTTGGAATCACATTAAAAACTGGGAGCTCCTGAGGGCACCTATATATGTTAGACAAACTACTGGGATTCAACTGGTATGGAAATATTTTACTCACTCAATATTTAGTACATACATACATCTGCCAAATGCTGAGAAAGAGTTGGACCTTGACCCCAAGCAGTTTATGGTTTCAAGGTAGAGAGACCCAAGGTAGGCAACAATTATGCCTCAGTGTGACCCATTCTATGACCAAGGAAAGCAGAGGGCTATGGAAAAACTGAGAAAGGACACCAAAGTCAGTCTGGGAGACCAACCAAGACTTCCAGGAAGCACAGTAAATCCATCATGATCACCACATGAGGGACCTATGTCATAACAAAATCCTACTTTGTTTTCTTCACATCATAACTGACCACTGAGGATATTATACTCCCTGTGGCAGTTGAGTTTCATTCTCTTAAATAGGAAGGACATTTTGCAAACTGAGTGGTGATGGTTCTGAAACTTAGCTTGCTGCTATTTACATGCTCTCTGATTACTCACTGCATTTACATTCTTGTTCCATAAAATCAGTGTCTGATAAGGTTATTTATTTCATTCTAAAGCAATCCTCTCCTACCTAAGAAACACTGATGTGCGGGTAGCAGCCTCCCACATTATCAAGCACAAAATATGGCCCTGGCCTCAACAGAATAAATTACACATTCTATCAGGTGTGTGTTGTTCAGTGAGAAACTGACTGCTCTTTGCTGAATATATTTCAACAACTAACCACTGGACAAGCAACCTTAGAATGTACAAACTAAATCTGAATCATTTGCTTTAATACCACTATAAATCAAACTGTTCATAGCTTTTCTCTTCTTTTGAGTCAATGTCCGCACTCCATTCCATCCTTATAAATCAATGTAGATGATTATTTCTATTAGAATTAACAGTACAAAGAAGGTCTGTCACAATAGGCGCATGGCTCTTTACTGCACTGCTATGGCAAATAGACCCAACAAATTTGCTTTGGGGGGAAAAAAGGCAAAGACACAGTGTGCTGGTATTTTACCTCTCTCCAAATGCCATGTTTTAAATAAACCAAGCACAGCGATCCAACCATAGACAGATTTAGATTTGTGTTCCTTCACAACAACAATAGTTGGCACAGATAAGCTGCCTGTCCTCCAAAAACCTAAAAACATTTTACACATTTCCCATTCACACTACCAACTGCCAAATGGTAGCTCTGACATGCATGGAATTCTGCTGCTGGGCAGCATACCTTCTTGTGCTGTGGAAGGATGAAAATGCCAGATGCGTTGTGCATGCACACGATACCACTGTCCCTACTTCGGCCCGATCTACCTAAGTGATCTTGGCCCAGTACCTATGACACAGTTATTGCAAATTTCTGGGGAGGTTCTCTGAAAGCCTTTTTCAAGCTCTGATAGAATAATGAGTAGCAAAATAAATGATGATGTACAAGGAAGTCCTGTATGGAAGCTGGATAACTAGCAGCGAAGTCATTTTAACACAACAGTGAAAGGCACTAAGTGAGACTGTGTAGCGAACTGTCATTGTTACATGAACATGCTTCGCATATAAGCTGGGGGACCAAGGAAAGCATATAAAGTCTTTTATGGATGTTCCAGTGCAAAACTGTAAAGAAATGGCATTCAAAATATGCTGAGGTGAGAAACAAAAATGCTAGGACAATCACATCAGAGACACTAGCATGCAGCAGGCAGAAATGGGAAACACTGAACAAAGACCCCAAGCCAACTGTAAGCCAAGAAGCAGAGTTAGAGCCTTGAGTCCTAAAGGTCGCATAGTCCTTATAAATCTAGATATGAAAGGATAAGAGTTGCTGGGCAAAACACTTGACTTAATTTATTCTTTTGGGGATTAATCTTTTCAGCCACTTCTTGAGACACAGGTAAGATTCAAAAGCAAAAGGCAAGGAAAGGTTACATGGTATTAATTTGTTGAAGAGGAAAAACCTAGTCATAGAAACTTTCAGTGGTCTTTTTTCCAGCCATTAAGCTTTTGATATGGTTTGGACTGAAACTAGGAATTCTGCCCCTACCCTACAATATTTTCATAATTTGGTTTAATATCTAAATTAGCAAGGACTAAGCATGAGGGATAAGTAGTGCAAAATCTCTAGCTCATAGCCCAAGATGTTGATATGTAAGATTCTCATTGCATTGCGTATGAGGAGCATCCTAGCTTCAGGCTAGCTATTGAGCATGAGGTAGAAGAAGGTAAGAAGCTCCTCTGACTGCACTACCTGAGCTGGTATAATCCCTGCAATCTATTGTTTCTAGAAGAAGAGTTTGCGTCCTGCTATTTGGGACAAACACTTGATTGCTTTCTCCTATATGTACTAGCACTTGTATTACAAACATTTTCCCCATCAAAGCCCTTAGATTGCATAAACCAGAAAAAAAAAATGATTCTATTTTACATTAATGATCATAACCTTAGTCTTCTAGATTCAACTATTGATGATCTTCCCCTTCAATGCTAGTAAGGACAGATGATGGCAAAAAAGATAAAAAATAGTCAAATATCTTCTAGGGCACAGGATTGGGGCAACTGCAGTCAGTAGAAATGACAATGTGTGACCTCCATGACAAGCATACACAAGATGGCTAACTCCCAACCGAGAGTGTCATCCCACCTGTGCTTTCAATATTTATAAATTCAGAAGAGCAAAGAATACATAAGCTTTGAAGGTCGATCAAATGATTATTAGGTAAATAGTCATTCCCCCCCTCCATCCCTCACCTCCATGAAAAGAGGATACTTCCCCACTTCACTGATATTGGGCTTTGGGCAGTGGAATGTTAGGAAATATGATCTGAATAGACCTTTGAAATATGCTTGTGTGGTTAGACTCGTCCTCTTGTGCTACTGTCTGTGTACATGATGAGAGTCATGTATAGCCCACTGGTTCAAAAAGTAAGAAAGACATATGGAGCAAACTTGAATCCAAGCTGCAGCTGGAGCCCAAACCAGCTGAGCCAAGCCTGGTCAGACAGCTCCCAATCAAACCACAGAAACAGGATCAAGAATTAAATGCTTGCTATTGTATATCACTGAGATTTTGTCATTAACTATTATTCGACAATACCTAACAGAATGATAGCAAACAGACTTTTGTTTGAATCAAAGCCCTATAATTTATCAACAATGTGATGTTGTCCAAATTAAGTGATTTGGTAATTCTTCCTGAGTCTCAGTTTCCTCAAATGAAAAACCAGGATAAGTGTTTTATAGGGTTATTGTGAGGATTAAATAATTTAGTAGATAGAAAACATTTCTGGAAATATTACTACTGTTTTTATTCTCCAAACTTTAAGTATATTATTCTGGCAATTTTTTTTTTTTTATCTCTAGGAGGAATAGGGAAGCACCCACTAAAAATAAAGATCCAGATTGACACTCCTCTGAGTGGAACAACCAAATTGACTCAAATGAGAAAGCCAGAGAACAAATCAAGTGTTTAGTCCCACCCACCTGCCTTCTATCTTTCCAAGGATGGAATGACACATTGTCTCAAATCCACACTACATATCTGTACAATTAATGTAGTCTGTTTTGCTCCTAAAAGAGATTCTATGTAAAGCAAATACATTTTTTCAATCTTTAAACTCAAAGAAAAAAAAAAAAAACATTTATTTTACTTGCTATTGGTAAGGAGACTTAGAACATTGACTGGACACAGTGAAAGAATAAAAAACAGGCATTGTAACAAAAGACAGCAACATTGTCTTCTTCCATACATCATGATTTTATAAGCCCAAAAACAAGCTCTTAGCAATTTATTTAATCTCTGAGAAGATTTTCTTCTTGAACAGTATCAAAATATCAAACTGTATATCCATGAAAGGTGCCAACATGGTCTGTAGGGTAGTATCTTACATAATATCAGACTCTCTCCATGGGGGTAAAGAAGAATCATGGACCAGGATGCTAGCAACCATTTGTCACTCACAACAGAAAAAGCAAAACCTGACAAAAAGAAAAGCCAGAGTAAAACGAGGTCACTTATAAACAGCCAAGGGTCAAGTGCCTTGTTTCTTTGGACCATGTCCTGATAGAAAATTCCTCAAAGTCACCTATTCCAGGGAATGAGCCTTCATATGACAAATATGTTAATGGAGTATATAATTCACCACAGAGATTTCCCTTTCCAGGCATTCCTGGAAAATGTCTTTTGAACTCTCTGCCTCACCTTCCCAAGTCCTCACCATGCCTTCCACTGTTCTTTTGCAAAGCAGTCCAGGATGCTTTCCAGGTGCCTGGGAGGCCACCCACACCTGCCTTCCCTCCATAGGGCTCCAGCTTCAGATTCTCTTCACAAATCTTTCTCTTCACCAACACTAAGCACCACTGCCAAAAAACTCTGTGAGGCTTTATTCGATGATAAGCTAACTTTGGTTGACAGGCAAATTCAGAAGAAGTTAATGACTAATAGTGGGGTTTATTCACCTATTCCACACCTATGATATTGAGTCAATTACTTAACCTAAGCTTCAGTTTCATTGCTGTAAAATAAGGATGGTAATACTCTGAAATACTTCATGAATTTGTTCTGGAAATCAACCAAATAACTGCATATGCAAAAAGTGCTGGTTTTACTTCTTTGCATGTTGTCTGTGTGAGTGTCCAGATCAAGACGTCCATTGAGGTGGGGACCCATGGAGATCCTGTAAGGCAAGATGGTTATAAACAAAGCTTTGTTAAGAAAGTAAAATATATTTAAAAAGAAAAAAGAAAGAAAGTAAAAGATACGAAAAGGAGATAATTTTCTAAATTTCTTCAGCATTTCAAGAATCAAGCCTAGCAG